ATCACTTGCACTGGGGCCTTGTGGTCTGGACAGTGGAATTCAGTGTGTCAGGTGTTGCTCCTCCCTGTGCGTCTTTTGAGCCTGAGGCTGAAGCTTGCTCCAAAGGCCAGACCCTCACTCCATCAGAGAGGGAAGTGGCAAAGGCAGGTCAGACAGCTGTGAGCCGGACAGAAATTGGGTGAGATGGTTTTGCTGTTTGCACTTGTGTCAGTGGAGCTCGGAGTGACTGGCAGGTGTCTGCATCCAGCTGCAGCACAGATGGGCAGCTAAAAGCCTGGCCCGAAGCTGTATCCAGGATCTGGTTCTGCGGCCCCGCGCGCGCGCGCGAGCTGTTTGCTATCTGCCAATGGCGTGTGTGCAGAGCAGGCTCTAGCAACGTGATCACAGTCTTTGCCTTCCTGGTTCTGTCTCTCAGTTGGTTGCCAGGGTTTGCAGATCACAGCGAATTTTTCTTGGGGAACATCCCTGTTTTGTCCTGGAGTGGACATGTGGGTGTATGGCCAGTTGCTGGTCGGTGCTCTGCCTTCCTTTACTGGTATTTCTCTTCCTCGGAGCAGAAGAGCTGCATTTTGCTTATCAGAAGGTGTATCGCTGAGGGAGGTTTCTTAAGGTGGCATGTAATTGGCAGGCCAGGTATCCTGGTTCCAGGTTCTAGCCAGGCTTTTGGTTGCCCCTCCCATCTCCACCTCTCACCCCTCTGGATTTTGCATACAGCCTAGTACAGTGCAAAGAAGGATGTGACTTGCTCAGCTTAGTCACATGATTTCTAAACAAAAACAAAAAATAAACAAAAAACACAAAACGATGATCTTCTACTCAGGGTAAAACAAACAAAAAAATTCCCCTTCCACCAAAAAGCCTGAAATGTTGCAATAAGTTATCTCATTTGGAATGTTTCATTAAGTTGTGTTATAGGAAAGAATTGTTTTTTGATTTGTGTATAGAATTACAACCATCTATCTGCCTTTGGCTCCAAGTCATGCCTCTAAACATAAAACATAAAATACAGCCCACACTAAAATGGAAAGTTTCTCTCAACTGGCTAAATCAATGTAGTCATAAGCACTCACCAAGTTCACTGAGCTCAGAAGCTGGGCATGGCCCCGCATCTATAGACTAGGCCTCTTCCCCGCCTTGAGCAAACAGGGCTGCTCTTCTGGGTCAATGATGTCGGGCAGAAAGTAGCCATAATCTTGCCTTCCTTTTCCCACTCCCTAATGTAAAAAGAGCTGCATTTGCCACTCTCCTGTCTCTGAGCCGTGCTCACAGCCAGCCAAGACAGTATCCAGAGCAGATCATTAGGGGAGCCAGAAGCCCAGCCTTTAACAGGATGTTCAGGGACAGACTTGGACAAGAGGGCAGTGGTGGTGAACGTTGTCACTGCAATGAGAGGTGGGCTTAGCCACAAGCAGCTGCTGGCTTCTCATTCCAGGAGTCTAGGCAGGAGAATGGGTTTCCTTTTAACCTTCTGCACTCTCCTCCCCAAAAGGCTGGTGGGTTCTGGGACCATTGACCTCAGCAGAAGTTGATAAGTCAGGAGGAATCTTCTAGTACCACAGTGAGTGGGTCCTGGAAAACCAGCTGCTGAGCATGGCTTGTCCTTGGCTCTGTGGACCAGGCACCATAGGAAGCTTTGAGGTAGGACACTTGTGTTTTCTCTACCTCTTCTGCGAGAGACCAGCACAATATGATTCCAAAGGTAATTGGCGTCGGAGGGCAGGAATGACCTCTTCCCACATCCCTGGAGTCACCTGGGACTCAGTTCCCTGGGAGCAGGTGGGATACGGGAGCCCAGGAAAAGCCGCTAGAAGTGTCCATGGTTTAAATGTTGCTTCTTTCTGGTAGCCAGGCCTGTGCTAACTTGTTGAGTCTCCCCAGGTCAATGGCTTTTCTGCTCTCCAAAGATTGGGGGTGATGAAGAAGCATCTTAAAATAGTGTTTAGGTTGACAGATTTTCTAGTTGCAGTATCTGCCTTTTGAGGATGATTCAAGATTACGAGGGCAACTATCAAACCCAATCAGCTTTTGGAAAATCATGAGCGTGCTTAAAATGTCAGTGAGTGGCTGCAAAGAAGAGCAGGTTTATTCCACAGGATAGGCAGTCTTTCCTTCCTCCTCCAGCGCTCTCCCTCCCCACCTCCTCTGTAAACCTGGCCTTTAGTGCCAACGACCTTGGAGAAGAGTGGGCCGCTGGCTAAAGTGGATCCAGACAGAGCCTTCATGGAGAGTGTGGTTTCCCAAACCTGGAGTGAACCGAGGGAAAGGTTAGAGAAGGTCTGCAGACTTCTACCAGGTGAAACCAAGCCTTTTTCTTCCCATGGTAACCTTAACCATTTCCACCCTGTAGATTTATCCTTCCAGTTCCTGCTAGCATCTCTAGTCATACTGCTCGGATACAGGGTGCTAGTCAGCATCAGGAATTGGAGTACATGGGCTCAGGAGGTGGGAGGAAACTTTGGCTGGCACCACCAAACTGCCTTAGTGAATCTGGCCCTTCCCAGGCCTTGAGGGAAAGTGGCCCTGCCTTTCCTGTCGGGTCTGGTCAGCCTCATCGGGACATCACCAGTTTGGTGGCAGGAGTTAGTGTCATTTATTGAATCCCCTGCCCCCTATCCTTTTAGAAGGAGATCTTGGTACAAAGCCTGGGAGGGGCCTTCATGTGTGAAGACCTCTCTGGGTAGAAGCAAGGGACTTGTGTTTACCACCTCTGGGGGAGTCAGTAGCTTGGAGAGTGTCAAGGCAGTGGACTGATGGGGCTAATGGAGGGTGGGTGGGTTTCCTGAGAGACTTTGTATAATGCTGAATGTGTCCAGAGGGACGAGTTTGCAGAACCTCATATTGGTATATTAAAGAAATAATAAAATAAAAAGCACTTTAGGTTATTTTATCTTTAACCCAATTGCTGCAATTTCTTTTGTGTGTGTGTGTGTGTGTGTGTATGTGTGTGTGCTTTCCACAAAGTTTTATTTTTTGCTTAGAATAAAAAGTTAAATTGAGGTGTGAAAAGAAAAGCACTTACCTTGGTGCAATATGTGTAGCTTGATGGTCGTTGTCCCATGTGGCCCTGGCCTGGCCGCATTTTCTGCTCCATCAACTCTGTACCAGGAGGCTGTCTGTAGGGAAACACTATTATGCATTCTCAGCAACTGCTCAATCTATGCAAGCCTTCCCTGTGTGCCTGAGGGCGCCCCCTCAGGCTCTCTAAAGAACTGCTGCGGGTCCTGTTTTCTGCTGACTGTTGAGGCCCTTTTGCATCACTTCTTGCACCCTTGCCATCTTTCCCCCCTTCACCATTACAAAGTGATGTCTGAAAGGAAGGAACGGGATGTTCCTAGGTAGAAACCTGGCACCTTCTAGACTTTTATATTTGTAATCACGTCCATTGTCCTTAATCTTAAAAGACTTCTCCAGAATCACCGAAACCATTGATTTGTGGAACTTGGAACAGTATTGCTAGACTTTTCAGTTTTCCTAATCACCAATCAGAAATATGTTTGGGGAGGTGTTACAGGTGGGGGGGCAACATGAGCCATTTCCTTATCGCTCCCATGCTACCCCTATTGGCTCTTTAAGCAATAAGGCCTCCAGCCTTCATTAAATCCAATAAACAAAGCTGTTATACTTTGCTTTATCAACTTTTTCCCTTCCCCCTCACTCCTCTCTTGTTTCCCCTACCACCCCATTTTATCTTCATTCTCAGGCTACTATACAATGGAAAAGTTTGAAAATACTTCAGCCAAAGCAGAAAGATTTCCATAGATCCCATATGCAGATGATATTGCTGTGACATAGATCAGAATTGTTCATTCCTTAATACTGGGAGGGAGGAGGCAAGAAAACGGAATTATGCATATTTCTGATTGGTAACCAGTTAGGCTGTTTCCTCTGGGACAGACTTGGGGAAGAGAGAAAGGGTCCTGTGTTTCTTCTCATGCCCTTTGGGGAAGCTGATGACCACTGTTTGGGCATTTCTCACTGTTAAGCCTGTTCGAGGGCTTCTCAGTCTGCACTGAAAATGCAAATTAAACTGGATCTTTATGTTAATGTGTACATAGTACAGCCTTTTTTACTGGATGCAAAGTTTAAAACCACACACTGCCCTTTTGGTGGTGTGCCTGCTGGGCCAAAAATTGGGTGATAATGTAGTGTCACTTTCTCAGCTCAATGCAGTTTCTACTCTTTTTCTTATGGGAAAGTTTTTCATAAAACCTTTTTTTCACCAAAACCCAGGGTTGTTTTTTGCAGTATCCTTGTTATCCTCACAGTGGTGCCAAGCCAGAGGCCTCTCTTGCCCTCTCCCCTGTGTCCTCAGGCCTCCCCTAGGGCGATGTTTGACTCTAGTCCTTTGTTGTTTTTGGTGAATGTGGGGGCGGGGGTCAGAGTTCAAGGTGGTTGTTTCCTTTCCCTGTGAACTCCTAGTCCCAGTTTGGGGGAGGTGGCTGGAAACTTGGTTTTGCTGAATCTCTGGCTCAGATCTTCTGGCCGGAAAGGCAAGACCCACGGGAGCCTTTTTTTTGGACATACACTAGTCATTGGCTGAAGGTCTTGGTGACAGTTCTCTAACGCCCAGTAGTTTTATTTGGATTATGTAAAGCCTATCAAATTCATTTAAGTGTGAAACATGGGAACAACAGACTTTCACTGAGCGATATGAAAACGTTACAGGTTCAGTACTTCCAAAGGAAGAAACCTCCAAACCCAAAAAAGAGTAAATATGAATTTGTATTTTTGAAGAATGTGAAATAATGGTGTTTGCTTAATTGCTCATTTTGTATAAACTTAATATTGTACTTTAAAATATCTGCTAAGAAGTGAAAATTTAACTTTTTGGAATTGAAAAAGCAATATTAAATACTAATGAGATCCTAATTAAATGCTTATTTAAATCTGGTAGTTATCTGTGGTATTTCTTCCCAACCCTGCCAGCTTTCAACCACTTCCTCCCTCCCCAGCATCAGAGTCTTAGAGATGGGACAGAAAGGAAAGGCCAGGCACCAGGAGAGTCTGCAGGCTTCCTTTTAATCAAGGCTCTGCTGAAAGTGTTGTGTGGGACTTGGAGCCCCCAAAGCATGAAATGGACGTGTAACACCACCTGGGTCCCCGGAAGCAGGCCAGACCACTCTGGCGAGCACTGCTGGCCTGCCCAGCTCCGGTCATCAGGCTGGTGTTCCTCGGCTACATTTCAGAGCTCAGCACTGCATCAGCCAGGAAGGAGTGAACCCAGCCGCTAGCAGAGCTGCCACCCCAGGCTGAGGGCCAAGTTCCAGCCGCTGCCAGTGAAGACTGGTCCGTTACTGAAGGCAGTTGTTCAGCGTCCAGCCACCAGCCCCCTGGAGGGAGAGAGCGCAGGGCCACGGGCTCGGGAACGGTCAGGGTTCCGCAGCTCCATCGCCAGCATCCTTTGGGAAACCGCCTCTGGCGCAGACAGCTGGCTGGGGGGGCGCCCCGGGTTTGGATGAGACATTCTGGTAGGAACAGGAAGGAAAAAAGTGAGGCTGGGAGGCAAGGCCCCGGATTAGGCCGCAAGGATCTGGCTCCTTGGCATCTGGACAGCACTGAACTTTTTCAGAGCCTCTCACCCAGATGAAAAGTGGGAGGTACAGCAGCGGGGACACGTTCCCTCTCAGGGGCAGATGGGGCTCAGCTAATCTAGCCAGTGGACAGTCCCCACCTCCCAGGCCCGGCCGGGAGGCACTGACCCCGCCACCC